GAAGAAAATGAGGTTAGAAAGCTCACTCAACTCAGAACTGCTAATGGGAAGTCCAGAAATGAATCAGAAATAGTTTTAACCTTCCACACAAGGTCCACCTTGATTTGTACCTAGCACTTAAGTGGTAAAGCAACAGATTTGAGGGCCTCAGAGGGCCATACTTTCAATATGTGGGCAATTGCCATGTGGAATAGGAAACCACAATGCTGGGCAAGTTTTCTAGATGCCAGGCTGTGGAGCATCTGAACCTCACAACTCCAGAGAGCAGTCCTCCAGAAAAACGAGAAAAGCTCTTGTCTGCCCCAGGGCTGAGCCTTGGTAGGAGCAGACAATGGGGGTAGTATAAATAGGGCCTCCCTGTCTTGTGCGATCAGAGCAGAGAAAGGGAAGGTGGAGTGGTGCGGGAAGAGTGTGTCTATGAGGTGGGGAAGGACACTGGGAGACAGAGATGTGGTTTCACGTTCGATGTTGTAGGTGCTCAGGTACTGAAATTGTGGCCCCCCTGAAACTCTTAGCGACTTGCTTTGCCACTTGGGTGCTAGGTGGAAACCAAGACTATTCCCCTGCGATTGACAGACTGACTGATTATTAAGTGAATGAATGAATGGAGTAAGCAACCACTCAAACATATACTGAGTGTGGCTGATGTGTCAGGAAACACACCACACCGTGGAGATATTTTTACCTGGCTGAGGAACAGTTTCTTCCTGCCAAGCACTGTGCTGGAAGCTGGAGATACAGCAGAATGAGACCCAGACTCTGCCATCAGGAGCTTACAGTCGACCACGGAGAGGGAAGCAGGGAAATTCATGCAGCCCGGTGACTAAGGGGGTAGGCCCGCAGAGCGAGCACCTAACCCAGTTTTGAGAGTTCAAGGGTACTTGTCCTGAGTCATAGGACGAGTAGGAGTTGCTAGATTTGGGGTAGAGGTGAAAGGCAGAGTTCTGTAACAGAAGCAAGCCCTGAGGAAGCTCTGTTATCCCAGTGGCCGCCTGAGCCCAGATCCAATTTTAGAAGTTGAACCTAGTGTTAGGCCATGAAGATTAACTCACCCCAACTGGTCAGCAGGGGCAGATGCTGTTACCCAAAAGAGCTTTGAGGTTAACTTCATGCCGTAGGCTGGGTCTGCGCTGGCCAGAGCTCTCCTTGGGAGAGTGGAATTTAATTGGCACTTATTTTCAATGCCCTTATAAAGGGTGACTTCTGGGCCCACTGAAATGGAAACCATTGTACTCCTAAGTGACCGGCAGGCAGGGGACCTGAATTGCACCCGCTGCTTTGGCTAATGTAGATGCCCGGCAAGTATAATGTATTTGGGGCTTTTTTCCAGAATCAAATGTATCAAATGGTGGATGAAATGGGAGAGCTGCCCAGGGAGAGTCAACCTCAGATGCATGGGAACAGGAATAGCAGTGGTTCCTGTGTCAACAAGGAGGCTTTTTTTGTGTGTGCGGAACTAAAGAAATGCAGCTCACTTACTGGTCTGGCTAAACTTCAAAAATTTGTGGTTTTTTTCCCCTCCTCCCAGGAACATTTTGTTCACGCTGGTGGTTAAAAGGGGGCAGCTTTCACATAGAAGTACAGCAGGAAGTATTTAAGTTAGATAAAAGGAAGGACTACTTGGCAGAATGATTGAGTACAGGACTGGGTTCCCAGGGGGATTATGGAATCTGATTTTTATTCATGGACTTTCCTATTAAATAACTTAAATAATAAGAGTGACAAGGTATAAGCCTACTTCACCATTCTTAAAGGCCTGTGCTTTGGGATTCAGAGGAAATGAATCCAGTAGACCTGAAGCAGTTTTATGGGGCTGAGCAGGCCTTGGAGTTGGGGGTCAGATGGGGGGAGAAGAGGATGGAGGGCAGCACAAAGATGTGGAACAAAGGGGTCAGGGCAGGAAAGCACGAGGGGCAATGGGACACAGAAAGTAGGGTAATTGGCAGCATTAGGGAGCACGATATTAGTGGTTCTATGAAGGCTGGATTAGGGAAAGCTGGGACGACTTGGCCAGAGAATTTAGATTTTACTCAATAGGCAACCGGAAGCCATTTCTTCAGGTTTTTGATCAGGAAAGGGAAATGATGGAAGTGGTGCTTCAGGGCTCATGGGGTTTTGGAGGTTGAAAGGTACCTACAGTCTTATAGTTCAGTGTTTCTCAAACCAGAGTGGCATCAGAATCATTTGGGGTGGGGAAGCATGTTTGTTAAAATTCAGACTTTCAGGCCCTGCTCCTAGAAGCTCCCATTCAGAAGTTCTGGGTGGGGTTGGGAATCTGCAGTTAAACAAAGGCACTGGTGATCCTGGTGTCACTGGTGTAAGACCCACACTGGGAGACCACTGCTGGCCTTCTGGGAGACACTTTCTAAGGGGTCCAAGCAGGGAAGCCCCTGATGAACTAGCAGAGAACCGCTGAGAAAAAAAGTCAGGCCTGAAACACATTCAGGCCCAGACAGCAGGAAGCGGACTTTCGACAGTACCAGTCCATTGGGAAGTTTCAGTCCCCCTTTTTCCTGCCCTCCCTACACTCCATTCTTGGAGGGCCTTTGAAGTCCCAAAGGGAGGAAGGCCAAAGAAAGAAATGACAAGTAGATCACACCCTCTTTCCTGGACAGCAGACCCTGGCCCCCTGTCTGCTGGTAAATATTTAACTAGCACAACACTAGTCTTTGACCAGCACACTGCCCTCCAAAGTAAACAGCCCTGCCTTGGAGTATCTGCCTATTTCCGTGGTGTAAATACTCTCGCAGCATGGCCATCTGGGGCTACCAATGTGATGTCACTGGATGCAGGGTTAGAAAGAGATGCCTACAATTAGATCTTGTGAGCTGGTAGAAGCCAGACCCAGCTCACCACTGTTCATAGCCCAAAGTCATGGCCAAGATGGGGCAGTGGGGGAGAACTATCTAGAATGAAGACTGAGTTGCTGAATAGAACATTGTCCTGCACCCTGCTATAGAGTATAGAGTTAAAGTGACTACAGAGCTTTCTGTCACTGCTCAAGTTCTCATCCAGTGACAAGGGAAAAACTGAACAAATTTCAGTCTGGGGCTAGTAAGACACCAAAGCAAAGTTTCATTTTGGTTATATTCTAAGGATGGTGCTGTCCAATGTATAGGTTACATCGGGAACTTTTATCTTTAAAACTCGTAAGATATTTTTAAAAAAGAACTATCGTTAAGTGGAAATACAAAATTCTGAAACGTATAGGTGATATCTCTGGCCCCAGAGTGAGAACCACAGACGTAGGATATTCTGTAGTTGATGAGGTCTGTTTCGGAGAGTTTTCTTTACTCTTCCAAAACAGATGTCCCCCAAAGGAAGGCAGCTGTCTCACTGATCAAAAAAACAAAAACAAAAACAAAAACAAAAACAAACAAAAAACCCCCAACAAACCCACAAACTGTTAGAAGATAGTACAGGAAGAACCCTCAAAGATGTGGATAAGACCTACCTCAGGGGTATACTGTGAGGGTTAAAAGAGCAAACATTTGAACGTGTCTAATATACATAGTAGGTCCGCAGTCAGTAGGTTGTGATTTTCCTTCAGAGCGTCATTAAGGTTCAGTGTTGGTGGATTATGTTGATTCCCTCTCAGGGAGCTTCATCCGTGTTAATAAATGTAAGAATCGTTTCTATTTTAGGTCTCTTTCCATTTTAGGTCTCTCTTGCTGATGAATGTCACAATGGAAGCCTTAGAGCGAGAATCTTCTAAGACCCTTTGACAGGTGGGAAGAGAGGAGGCGAGAAAGGAGAACCAGAACTAGCTTTTAAACCGGCTCCAAAGTGCCCGGCGCAAGTGAAAACAACTTCTATGTAGTTTAAGCCGCCACGAGGCCCCAGGACCGCAGCTCTCCCACACCCGCTGCCCGAATAACTGGCCCTTTGTGCTTCCCTAATCCATGCAGCAGATTGTAAAGCAGAAAAACTGCTCCCAGCGAGATGCTGCTTCCAGTCCAGACCAGGCTGGGAAACCACCGGGACCTTCCATCAATCACGCCCGCTTGCAGTGAGGGACTCTCTCCAGATTTTTAAACTACCTTCACAACCCACCATCCCCCAACTCTTCAGTGACACAAGCCCTGCCTTTTGCCGTTGAGTCAACAGAACCTCGAATGTTCCAGGCTTCCAGGCGGCCCTCGCTCCTGTTTCTTGAGGGGAAAGAAACTTTCCGGGGATGAGATATGGCCTGCGGCCGGCCCTGCACAGAGCGGAGGGGAGAGACACAAGCCTGGACGCTAGGGACCCCCGGGCTCTGCAGCCCCATCGGCCCGGGGCCCACGGCGCGTGCGTTTGCCCAGGCGGGAGGTTGTGCCTGGCGTTCGGCGAGCCGGGCGGGCTGCACAGAGGCCGTGCCCGCTGCGCTCCGAGCGGCTGGTCAGCGGCCACCAGGGACCGAGCGCCGAGCCCACTCGGGCCTCTGCGGTGGCCCTTTTACGGCTCCACACGACACGTGTTTTTCTTTTTTTCCTTTGAAAGGTTTTTTTTAAAAAAAATTGTGATAAAATATACATAACCTAAAAGTTTTGACCATTTTAAGTGAACAATTACACTCACAACGTTTGCAAAACTTTTACATCCCCCCAAACAGAAACTGCCATGAAACACTAAATCCCCATTCCCACGTCCCTTCGGCCCCTGGTAACCTCTCATGGGCTCTGTCGCTATAAACTTGCCTATGCTAGGTGCCTCATGTAAGTGGAATCAGACAACAGCTGTTCTTTTGTATCTGACTTATTTCACTTAACAGACACTTGTTTCTTATTATTGAGTCTACAGTCCAAACACTACTACCATGCTACTTGGCTGGATTTCTCGTGAGGAATTCTGAATAATGGTGTCCAGAATCAGGAGACAGAATAAGATCACAAAGACACGAGCGTGGAGAGAAACTAGATTCGAGCTTCCTCTGCAAGGCGCGGAAGGATAGCGCTCGGCTGGAAGGGGCCCCCGCATGCGCAGAAGCAAGTCTGACAGCCGAGGGCGGGCGCGGCGGGGCGAGAGGAAGCCGGTGGAGAAGACTCAATTTGCCTAGGCTTGCAGCGGCTGTTGTCGTCTCCCACATGGTCTAGCGGTTAGGATTCCTGGTTTTCACCCAGGCGGCCCGGGTTCGACTCCCGGTGTGGGAACGTGGAACCTTTTTACAGGGGGGAAAATTAACTTAGGTCCCCTTTTAATTTAGGAGAAGACTAGTGTTTTTAGAAAACCCTGTAACCGCATTTCAGAGCAGCCTAGAGAGATAGAGACCGGAGAGAGTCAAGTCTGCCCTGGAACGAGCTTGAGAACACAGCCAACCCAAACCCGGTCGGCTGGCTGGAGCAGGCGGTAAGGAGGTAACTCGAAAGAGTGCGAAGTTAGCTTTTGAAATAAGCCTTTAAACCTGAGGAGCAGGAGCCAACCGGTCCCGTGCTAAGATACATGTTTCAGCTGGTTTTTCTGCGTAATTTCTCCTTGTACTGTGAGCAAATGACCAAAAAGTGCTCTTCTTTGAAAAAAAAGAAAAGACACATTGTAGGACATTATAGGGCTTTTAAGCTGCCTAAAGCTATTCCTTTGAGAAGGACAGCAAGATTTCCAGAAAACAACATATCATTAAAGGGCAGAGTGGTTCAGTGTGCAATCTACTGTGTTTGCGATCCAAAGGACTCACTAAACCAGTTATTGCGGGGTGGGGGTGGGGCAGAAGAAAAAAGAAAATTAGGTTATTACAAATACCGAGGAGTGAGGCAATGGCAAAAGCAACACTTTCTTCTCACGCCCTAACATATTTATTTGACACATTATGTTTAAAAAATTTCAAGAATTCATGATATGCTCAATAAGATCTCTAGAATTAGAAATCTTAGTACCGATGTGTGACAAGACAGTTTACAACTGTTACCCAAATAAGTGCCTCCTCTGCTGTGCTCATTTGTCTGGCTTACCTCTCCAAACATTTGCCATTAGGAAAAACCTCCAGGCATTTAGAAGTCACACTTCTTTCCCACTGGTGTTGAACTCAGAAGCGTCCCCCGATTGTTCCCAGACTGCCTTTTACACTGAGAAATGTCTGTGAAAAAGACTTGGCATCCATGTGACTTTGAAATGTGCTCCTTTTAAAGTCCTTTGGGATTTTCAGGGGCACAAAAATGTCATCCTTCATGGGAAAAACACTAGGATAAATCTATGCTTATTCAAAATTCCTAATAAGGAGCTTAGGGGAGCAATTGATCATCAGCAGGTAACCTGCATTTCTTGAATCCAGTAGGACAAAAATGATAAGAAAATAAAAAGTCTAATAATAGTAGGCAGTATTTATTGAGCACATACAGGATGAATGCTTTAAGCACCGTTTAAAATGTTATGTCTCTATCCGCCAGAGGCCCAGTAGGAAACTGATGATTCTTAATGAGTTTAATCAAGGTACGATTTAGGTTTTACTTAGGGTCTAGGAAAACAACAAGGAATAATGCTAGTCCTCAGGGCTCCTGGGCCTAAAATGAGTAAGGGAGTTGGGGTGGCTGATGGAGAGGGCTGCCACTGAGGAGCTGTGGGTTTTGTTTGTCTTAACACTTGTTTTCATAGGGCAGGTGAATTCATTCACATGAAGGCTGTTAAATCTACGCATCCTATGAATTGCTCATTTCCATAAAACAGATCTGTGGCCTCACAAAGTTGACAAAAGCTTCCTTCGGGTGCATACGATACTTAAGAGACCCAGAGCAGAGGAGATACTTCTACAGACAAGTACTTAATAAAATGAGAGTGTGACTTTATGGAGACATGGTTCCTTGAGGTCTATTTGGCATTTCTTAAAGCCTTGTATTTTCACAAAACATTTTGCCATAGTTTTCATTAATCATCGTCATAATCAGTCTTTAGATGCATAGACTATTTGAGTTGCAGATGCCCTTTGCAGTCATTTTATCGAGCCCCTCACTTCACCCTTGAAGCATGGGTCCGGGACTGTTTGCCTCTGATTCCCTAGTATTGGACTTTAGACTCTATCCCTCAAAATGAATTTTGCATAGTGTCCTGGACAGATACCAGTCCTTCCAAAACCCGGCTTCAGGAAAGGGGATAGGGTGCAGAGAAGGTGAATTTGAGAAATTCTGTTGTATCTCGCTTTTGATTAGTGTTCACAGGATAGCTACATGAACACAGTTGTAACAATTTTTCTATTTGAAATGTTGAGGATTTTAAAAAATTTTATTTTATTTTAGTTGGTCTTTTTTGTTTGTTTGTTTTTGGAAGGGAAGGTAATTAGGTTTCTTTATTTTAATGGCAGTACTGGGATTGAACCCATGACCTGAGGCATGCTAAGCATGCACTCTACCATTGAGCTATACCCCCCCATTTTAAAACTCAAATATTTTCTAGAGAGTGATGATCTTTATTTGGGTTATTTGAACTAGTCATAGGTTTTCAACATGCTTCCATTTTTGCATATGGTCATAAACTCTGAGCGAGCAAGTCTGCATAGAGATCCCTTGGTGCCCACCTACATGTGTATATAGAGTAACATAGATTTGCATGTGTGTTCCCTCAGAGGTATATGCTACATGCAAAAAAATTTCCTAAATAATCGCAACATTAAAACTTCGTATTATGACAAGAAAGGGAAGGCAAATGTGAATTTTAACTCACCTACGTTGTAAAACTGAAGAACTTGGAAAAACACTGAATACTTGGAAAATCACTGGAACAAATAATCAAAAAATCAATTTGCAAACCCCTAGAAGACCACAGGGTACTGGGTAATCATCCTACATAGCTTTGTGAAAAACAAAGCTTATCAGGTGAATCTAATTTCCTTTTGTCACAGAGTGACAGGCTTGGTGGATGTAGGGAGCAGTCAAGATAATCCATCCTGACTGAAGAAACCTTGAAATTTTGTTCTGTGTTGGGTACTCCTGAAGAAAGTGTAGGTAAGGCTATTGCTGTCTGGCAGTGACACATTCAAATCCAAGTTCAGAGCTCAGTTTCACCCAGATAGGCAACCCACCCTCATTCTAGTCAGAAATGACCTTGTCCTTCCCAAGTCTCTACTGCCTGGGCTCCTTTTTTTTTTTTTTTAATGTTATTCAGATTTTCTTTGTGCATATTACTTCATCTCTCTGTTCCTCAGTTTCCTAGACCCTAAGATGGGGATACTAATTGGATCTACCTCATAAAGTTGTGGAGATTAGATAAGATAATGGATATAAACTGCTTGGCTCAGTTTAGGGCCAATGACCATTGTGTGCCGTCATTACCACCATCATCATTGTCATCATTATCATGTTGAATTCCTCTTTCTCTACTTCTCATTGCAACGTTAAACCTGATCATTTCTACCTCTTCAGTGCTGCCCAGGTATGTTCTTACCTATTTCTCCTGCCCCTTTTCTGGTTCAGATCATCTTGGTCCCTGGATTATTGCACCAGACACCAAACTGGTTTCTCTGACCCTCATCTCACCCATCTTCTCTTGATCTCACATCATACTGCCCGTCCTAGCACAGAGCTGAGGGTGCTGCCCTCGCACCTGTACCTTCAGGGCTTTGGCCTGCCATGTGCTCCCAACCTACCTTTGCAACCTACTCCTACCTCTTCCCTCCATGCACCCAGATGCCGGGTAATTTCTCACTGTGCCCTGTATCTGGCCTCTGCTCAATTTTCCCTCTACTGAAATGCTCTTGTGCCCTTTCTCTAAATGTCTGCATCTTAGCCACCCTTTAAGGCTTAATTCAAATGTCTGGTTCTTTACGTAGCATCCCTTACCTCTCCTGCTGGGAGATGCCTGATGGGAATCTCTTCTAATTCCCCTTAGCATCTTGTGTACCTGTCTTCTGATGTTAACCTCTCTCTAACTTCAGGTCTTAGCTTAGATGTTACTTCCTCCAGAAGCCTCTCCTGCCTCACTGACACGGGGGGAGATGCTTGCTCTGCACAATTCCCTCTCATATTTACCACACTTGCCATGGCCCTCCCTAGATCGCATGCTCCAAGGCCAGTTCCCTGTCCACAGTAAATACTTAATAAACATGCATTGAGGGAATGTGTGAGCCGGACAAGGACTGTATTGTCCCAAGGAACATCTTAGGTTCCAAGTTACAGAAAGCCACTGGATCTAGTTCAGGCCTGAGAGAGAATACTTGGCTTATATAACCAAACTGTGGAAAGTGGAGTGGTGTGGCTGGCCTCGGGGACAACCAGAACCAGTGTTCCCTCTCTGTCTGTCCATGTGTCAGATTTATTCTCAACTACTATGGACCAGCTGTTTCCACATGGCAGGGATCCGGATACCACCAGCTCCGTACTCATTCCTCACAGCTCCCCCAACCAAGAGGGAAGGTCTTTCTTTTTGTAGTTTCTGTGGGAAAGTGCTGGGGAGGAACATGGCCTTCCTTGGGCCCTGTGCCCTCCCGATGGTTGATGCATGTGGGGTATTATGATTGGCAGCCTTCATTAGAACCACGTGGTGGAGCGGAAGGAGGAACAGGTTTTAAAATTAAGCCAAGGAAATTAAATAGTGGTGATGGTTTCACAACTTTGTGAATATACTAAAACCCCCCTGAATGTAAAAGGCTGAATTTTATAGTATATGAATTATATCTCAATTTAAAAAAGAAAAAAAATTAAGCCAGAAATAAAATATCGCTGGCAAAATAATCATTTTTTATATTCCTTTTATTTGAGCTGCTCATTTATCCAGCACATATTTATAGGCAGCTGGTATGTGCCAGCACCATTTAGATTTACATTTTAGTTGGGGAATCTTCCACACACACAAAAACACATGAATAAGGTAAGAAGTCTGGGTTTCATTCTAAATGTGATGGGATAACTCTGGAGGTTTAAGCAGAGGCTGGGTTCTACTTCCAAGATGAGACTCCCTGGATTTGAGGGGCTTTGAGAGTCTTCTGGGCAGGTTCTCTGTTTGTGGTCAGCACCGACCACACTTTTATAGGAAGATGAGAATGTTTAACAGGTCTTTGAGATGGCTTCCATAACCTCTTTTCAGAATTTGGCAACTTTGTCATAAAATAAAGTTTCCTTGTAGACTAAACCAAATCACATTATACTTTGCTTTCAGCCCGTATTTCTGGAGTTAGCCAAACTGCAATATTTGGAGACACAGTCCCCAGGACTCCCCTCACTTTGGACATGGTCTGCAAGTTTGGGGTGTTGCCAAAACCATGCTCGAGATTGGTAATGTGCTGGAAGAACCCACAGAACTCACTGAAAGCTGAGGTATCCACAATTAGGGTTTATAACAGGAAAAGGATACAGATTGAAATCAGCCAATGGAAGAGGCACACAGGGCAGAGTCTGGGAGGGTCCCAAGTGCCAGCTTTCTGTTGT